TACTGAAAATCTTACCTAACAATAGGTATAACAAGTACCGAAAATCTTATTTGACTTTTATCTGGTTAGCATTTGTCGAGAAAAATACGTTTACCAACCACTCATTTTCATACCCCAAGAGTGTTACCTGATAAGCTAAATAAGGGGTGATGATTTTTGCCGATAAACACTTAGGGGTCGTTTACTAAATGCTTACTTGGTAAGTGCTAACGCATAAATATCCTCATCGGATGAAAATGAGAAGGTCAAGAATCTTACCAGGTAAGAGCAATGAGAATGATGAAGTATTGTATATTGATGCATATTATAAAGCATTTGACAAAAACTTTTAAAAATCATTTTTAATGCATGAAGTATTGTATATTGATGCATATTACTTAAAATTCAAGACTACAAGTAAATTATGCATAAGTACAACTTATTAAAGCTCCATGTTTGAATTCGTGTAACTAACTGCGGATAAATATAATCAAATAGAGGATAAACATCTCATTTTAAAATCTAAAAAATCTAAAATAAAATTAGGATAATCATCGAGTTCTAACAAAATAATTAGTTATTATCTTTATAAGAAAGTTATATCATTAAATCAAATATAAATTACTTCGATATTGAACCTAAATTAAATTATAATAAAAAAATTACACAAAAATAAAAATTTTAAATAGTTAATTTGATACTAATATCGATATATTTTTGTCAAAATTTTATAATATCTTCAAGTTTATATTTTGTTCAAAAATAAAAACATAATCGTTTTTTTCAAAATCACATAAAACCATACTATAACATCGTCTGAGATAAATAATAAAATGAAATATTAAAATCAAAATGTACTTTGCTGCATTACGCGAGTACCTTTCTAGTATATATACATATATATATATACGTATATATACATATATATACGTATATATATATATATAAGTCAGGGTAATCTGATTAAATGATTTGAACTCAAAATCTTTAAATAACATTAAGAACGTTATTATRGGTTTTGATAAATTTGATTGCACGATCGTAGTCATGTTTTCACAAACTCTCATGACTTAGCAAACGTCTTGGGGGTGCTAATAAAGATTTAGTGTCAATCGTAAGTGGGCTAATAAACCAAAAACGTACAGGAAGTGTGATTGAGCTTTTGTGGTCATGTTTGTTTATACAAAATACARCTAAAACTATATAAATAGCTAATTATCTTTGATATCTTGACTAAAATTATATAAGTAAGTTTTAAGGGTATATGAGCTTTTTTTCTGCCCTGTTATTTAGATGGAAATGAGGTTATGTGTTATTTGCCAATTAGTTGTGATGACGTTAAGTCATGCTGTTTTATTAATACATGTTTCGAATAGTTGGTTCAAGTATGYTATTGATGTTGTTTTTATGAAGGGTTGTGCTTAATGACAACCATCTGGACTCTTGTAGTTTACACCTGGTTTAAGTAGTTTTGACTTGAGAAACAGTTTGTGTTAATAATACTTTACGTTAATTCACGGGTACCATAAAAACGTCTATTTTACTTTTAGTAAGCAAATTCCATCTTTTATGGAGAACTTGTTGGTCCGTTCAAAAAGACTATCTTTATATTTTAGGTCAAATTATATGAAGTCTGTAAAAGAATTAACTTATGTTAAAATTTGGCGTCATGAAATTAATGAACATGTAATTAGCTTTAGATTCAATTGATCTTTACGTGTAAATGTTTTCACTATAGTCATATGTGCAATGTTCGTAATCCACTTGAACTGGATAATTTATCTTAAACTTGACCTGAAAAGCTCGACTCGTCAAAATATCACAAAGATAATGATTTCAATTAATAGATTTATCTATTTCTCAACAATTTACGAATGATAAAATAGGAATTCCGTCATAAAAAAACCCACCAACTGAATTTTGTTTCTTGATTTAGAAAAAATAAACATAATTTAATGGATAAGCGTTTCCAATTCGTTATGGGTTGTGTTAATTTTTAATGAAATAACTTTAACGGGTCTAAATGTATGTGATTTAAATTGTAAGGTATGTATGATCCGTGAAGGAGACTGGACGAGACTCGATTGGACAAACAAGAATCACAGGTTAAAGATTTTAGAAGGTTTCAATTTTTTTTTTTCATTTGACATACGTAATTTGGTAATTTACCAATTTTGTCTCATCTCTCAGTTTTTATTGTAATTATTTTACTGAAAATAAATATAATGTATTTTTTGTGTGACCAGGTCTTGTACACCCTTATTGAACATCGTGATATTGACATTAAACATGAAATATCATGTTGAGTTACAACTGACTATTGAGTAGAGATGGCTAAGTTGTGCTCAAGACGAGCTACAAATTTTGTAGAATTTCAAGGCTTAACCCGAGACCAGTTAAGTATAGGACTGATTTTTCAAAGTTTTCGAGTTATTATTAATTTAATACAAGTTTTCTTTTCTTTAAAGCCGTAAGTTTTTCAATATAATTTTCAAGTAAATACATTATTTAAAGTGTATTTTAATGTTAAATTTCAAAGATTATAATAAAAACATTAATAACATTTATGTGTAAAAAGTAATTTTAAAAATTGGGACGAGATTGGATTTGAGATTGGCCCGATTGAATTGGGACCGGTTACCGGGCCTAGGCTCGGTCCTAGGATTTTTGGTTCGACCCGATTTTGAAGAAACCGATTTGGCTTGACCAGATGGATTTTATCCGTCCATCCGGTGACCGGTGGCAGTCACCGGCGAATAGGCTATTGGGCTTATTAACTGGGCCTATAGCCCAATTCGTATTGAAGCGGGCCGGCCCATTTTCAAGACTATTTGGCTTGCTTACTACAAAATACAAATATAACCTCGCTAATCGCTAATTCGCTATACAGCAAAACCCCAGTTTTCCTGCCGCGCCAACYCTTCCTCATCACAGTTTTGCAGGGTATGTTTTCGCTCTCCCTGTGTTCATGGTTTCAGTTTGGTTTCTAGGGTTCTAAATTACGTTGGTACTCTTTATGAAACAGAATCTATATGGTCACGACTTTAGATATATCGGGGAACATTTTTATTTCTAGTTCTAATTGATTAATTTAGTTCGTACTTGTTATTCATTCCAGTATATTTGTTATTTAATGCCATTATTTCTCAATTTATGTCTTCGTAGATAGGTTTAGTTATCGAGTAATGAAAATATAAACTGGGATTTTACTGAAAAAGGTTCATTGTTATGTGATTTCTTATAACAATGAAAATCTGAACCAGGGTKTAGTTGGGGAATTTGCAATGGTGGTGCCTGCTCAGCTCACAGCKGAGGCTGTTAATCAGCTTAGAGAAGGTATTGATCTGCTTCTTGCTCGATGGAGTGCACTTCAGATGGCTGTTCAGAATGAATGGGGTGGACGTGACACTAGACAGAAAGTCCAACAACTTGCTGTTGATATTTATCACTGGCTAATCAGACCTACTGGTATTTAAGATACTACAGTCTACWTGGAAATTAGTTCTATATGGATGTATATAATTGATATTGTTCTGAACTCTTAACAAAAATGGCAATCTTCTGGGGATTAGTTGGTTTCTGCTTCCATAATTGAGTTTTGTGTAATGCAAATTCGGTGGGGTTACATTACATGTTCTTTTGTCAATGATGATTGCGAAAAAGACAAGCATGAGAGCATCTCCAACCACACTGCAAAATCTGCAAATTACCAGACAGGAAGCTCCAATGATACTGCAAAAAGAAGGGTGGTTTGCCGGAGATGGGAGAGAAACAACATATATGTTGTGTTCCTGTTTAGACGGCATATATGCTGTGTGGTTGGAGTTGAAGCGATTTTTGGTGTTAATGGCCCCACCAATTTGGTGCTAGGGTTGGAGGTGGTCTTATAGGAGATTCTTTAATTTTGAGACAACAATGATGATCAACCAATTTGACAAATAATAAATTTGAAAATTGGCTAAAAATCATTTTGGTGTAAGATTGTGTATGTCTCATGCTGAATTCTTATGTATATTGTTGGACACTCTGATTGGAGATGGTTTGCAAGAATTATTTTGGTGAAGATAGTACACTGTTAAATAGGTGAAAGACATGCATTTATCTATTTGATAACTGATCTTTTCTTATGTGTATGAAGCATGAACCATAGATCAGAGAAATTACTTCTTCTTCGATTTTAAATGCACTTTTCTGCCTGGGAAGTCTATTCCGTTGCTCAATAATTCTCTGGATTCAATGCTCTTAGCACTGGTGTTACATGCCAAACCTTTTATTCTCTGTAGTTATAGGGTTTTAAGTCTCACAGGAGCTTATAAAGTCGTGAATAATGAATTTTGTGCTTATTAAGTTGTTGAGTTTGTTATAACACTACATTCTTGGTCTATTTCTAGAGGCATTATATGTCGATGATTTGGAGAATGTTCTTGATGATTTTATGCTCTCTCTTAATACCGAGATTGATGATGGCAGCATTGAGGAGGTAAGCATCTGTACATAATTGATTGCAGCCATGTAAATGTTCAGGTCATGCTATCCTCTGGGGTTCTACTGTTTTTTAGTTCTGAGAAGGCCTTCTCGATTTGCATGTATATGTTTTTTCGTGGTTTATTTTCATCAATCCTTTCGTCCTCATTGATATTGTATTTTAATAGTTACGGAAATAGTAGGCAATGAGTCAAGGTCATCATATTCTTATTTTTCATAAGTTGTGCCATTTAATTCACTTGGGCTTTTTATGTGGATTGTGGAAGTCTTCTATATGCAAATTGACCATGGAGAAGCATTAAAGGAGGGGAAGTCACTGCAGAATATAAATAGCTCGTTACAGATTTACAGTTTCAATTGTAGTTTTCTTGAAAACTATGCAAATTTTTAGATGTCTTTTGGCCTGGTCGAACGATTTTATCAGTGAAGGTGTTTTCAATTTATAAGGTGTCATATTCTTGAAAGCTCTTACTTGTCCTACCAAAATAGGTGGAAAAAATCAGGGAGACGAGACAAGATTGGTAATTTACCAAACTACTCATGTGACATGTCAAACTAAAACCCTAAAACCTTTCACATTTCTTTCACTCTACCTCGTTTTTGCCTGTCCTGTTGTGTTCATCGTGTCCAGTCCTATCTGTGTACCAAATGCACCCTAAGGACATTGAGTTGAATAAACTCAATCACATCCCTGCAAGGCCGAATCAAAAAAACAGATTGATCATGATTTTTAATCAACTCTTGGTAATCCTTCAACCACAGAGGGTTCATATTTTGATGCTTCTGGAGAGGGTTAGTTTGGCCGAGTGTTATAGGGAACTTGGGATCAGCCAACCTCTTAAGATTGGATCAACTTAACTTTGTGTTGTTAATGGGAAAGGCATAAACGACCAACAGATGTGTAGTCTTCGCTCTATATTACACAAGATGTTAGGTTAAAAACGAAAAGGAACTCTAAACAGACCTTGTAGGCCGTTCTTTAACTTATTTTCTCCATGCAAGCAGAGCGGAGTAGCTGTGGTCTAGAACCTAAAATAAGTAAATCTCTTGTTGGTTCTTTTGGTGTATTATGTACCCAGGTGGTGTAGCTCAATAACAATTCCAGCCTATATCGATGTAGTTCATATTTTCTTTATTTAGTTTATCATAAGTTGAATTCGATTTGTTTTCTTTTTCCAAAAAAAGTTGAATTTGATTTCGTTTGTTAAAAGAACTGAAGCCCTTGGTAAGCCCAGACGGTTTCTGTCTGTGATAAAGTAAAGCTTCATTCCTTGGTTCAGATCATCAAAATGGATTGGATCTATGCATAAAACTTTAGCTGGTTTATGATTTAGAATACAAAGGCTTTAACCATATTTGATCTACTGACCTTGTATGATTTCACACTTTTAGAAGTAACTGAAAGATAATCTTATACATACATGGAGCATTGTTCTCTTTTACATTTTTTGTCTTAAGTCTTAACATTCTTTCCCGACATATTTTCATATAAGATGCTGTGAGTCTTGGCCAGTTGCTCATTTAGCTATTTCCTGTCTTCACATTTCAATTTTTTACGTAAACAGATAGCGGAGAATCTAATGATCATGCATGAAGAATGTTTGGAAGGTAATTTTGTTTCAATTGAAAGACTAAGGCAATCTGCTCCTCAAAACGGTGCTATCCACCGCTTGCAGGTACTATCCCAGTTCATCTTATCATCCCTCTTTCTAATTGCCAAAATATATAGCCAAGGAGTTCCCATTTGACAATGAAGCTAATAATTTCCATTTTCTTAAGATCCCCTCATTTCAAGTGAAACATGTATATTCTTTGGTTCAAGTATTACTGATCTAATAACATGTTTTTCGAGGTACATGGTTTTCAAATCCAGTTGATATGTTAGATGTTATTGTTCCCTTGGGGTTTCTTTGGTACGCGTTAGAGGACGGGACATGACATAACAAAAACTTGTTTCTTTGGTGCGACTTTTAACTGCTACATGATATAATTGAGGGGGACAAAAAAGCATTTTTTTGTGTCGCACCAATTAAGAGACAAGATTGATTACTAAACTACCCATGTCAAATTAAAACCCTAAAACCTAGCATGATTCTTTCACCTGCCTATCTTACGCTCGTCCATCCACGTACCAACTGCACTCTTGTCGAATGTTTTCATCTTTAAAATATGAGATTACCCCAATTGAGAAAAAATAAATTTGTATTTCATAAAACCGTTAAAAAGTTGGCCGTTTTGAAGTACTTGTGGATGACTATTGGTATGGTATGTCCTAGGGGCTGTTTGGTTGGTTTTCCTAAAAGTCCTGTATGAATAAAGCCATCTGTGTGTATTAATCTGTCTATGTAGAATGAGAAGGTTTTTGTTTAGGGGGGTGTTTCCATAGATGAAAAAGTGTGTTTTCTAATTGGGAGGGGTAGGTTTGGAACAAACATGGCTTTCTGCATAAAGCTCCATCCGAAAAGCTTATTGAATAAGCCACATTCTATATCACTAAGCCACTAGCAAATATTTATGTATAGTTGACCGAATAAGCTGTGAGTCCCATTAAGCTCATTAAGCTGCGAACATACGTGGGCTTTTACATTAACACTCAACATGCCATGATGAACTGATCTCTGAAGCTTTATGTGATTTATATTTTCTTTTCGAAGTATATAATAGTTGCCTATGGAAAATGCAACAAATAAACTCACACCATTCTCACCTTTGTTGGGGTTCGGACCCCTAATCTCCTAGGAGGCTAGAGGTCCTCATATTGTTAAGGCAAAAAACCTTTGGTTATGTGATTTATCTTCACGGAAGCCTCTCTACCCTTTTGATAGATGTCAGTTGCATACATAGGATATACTGGGTTTGTTTTGGTTTTTCTTTTACAAGAAGGAAATTGAATACTACGGTTGCGTCGTTCCATTTCGTTACAATCGAGTTATATATGATCATTCAAGTTCATTCTCTCATTCTTATTCTTGTTAGGTTGTCAATGGTGGTGAAGATGACTCGGATTCGACCTCAACTTCAGGGGACGAGTCAATGGAGATGGCCGATGATCTTGACCCATCTCCAAACATGACAGATACAACTCTTGGGGAGCCAACACGGGCACAAGCACCAACGGTTGATGCGGATGGCTGGACCGTAGTCTCGTCTAGGAGAAACAGAGGCAGCGGGCGTTAATATTTTGTTTTAATAACATATATTTATAGAATTCAAGTTTGGGAAAAGATCATGCTTCTATTACAAGTATGTGGTGCTTTTAAGTTGGTTCTTTGTTTGTGAGCTTTATTTTGCTGTATTATTTGGTTGTCATTGTGTATCATGATGCATTTAACACTACATTTATATAATTTTGACAAAGCATTGAGTATATTATAATGTGAGACCATATAAATAACACTAAACTTTCATAATATTTTTGTTGTGAAGGTTCGGTGCATTCAAAGCTTATAACACTTCTCCTTCCGACTTTTCAGCATCGGGCAGGTGTCAGAACTCTATACATCATGTTACCACTTAGCAGAGTCCTGTGCACACCCATTTGGATTTTTGCTTTACTTTTTTCTCCATTTTATAGTGGTTTCTTATCAATTGCTTACTGCATTACATCGATGTGGATTGCCTTGCAAAATAGCAGTATAACTTTTCCTTTTTGACATTCACAATGGTTTATTGTGAAGTTTTAGTGTAATTTTATGGTTTCATGAGTGTTACGTTCCAAAGTTGTAATTTATTGATTTTTTTTGTTTTCTTTTTTCTTTTTTATACTTTTGTCTCGAAACTCCCAATCAAATGCATTTTAAGTATTTTTCTAATAGAATGTAATAAAATGAGTTAAATTTTTTTAGAGCGAGGATAATAAGGGTCTGAGGGTGGCTTGAAGGATCAGAACGTAAGATTGTAATAGTTTTTGATATAGTGGATGTTCTTTTAACAGGTCAATATTTCAATAAAACAAATCAAAACAATTTAGCATCATTAGCGATGTATGCTCGAGCATAACTCTAATGTTTTCTTTTTTGATGGAGAATCTTACATTATGTTATATCACACGTATACGTTCTCAAAACCAAAATTTCTTCTTAGCTTGGACCTTGGAGGCTCCTTCTCATAGAATTAAACAATTCTTTAGGGTAAATTGGTCATTTTACCAATCATGTTATGTCTAGTCACGTGTTACCAAACGTTAAACAACTGTCATGTAATATTCTGTTCTGTCATGTCTAAATACCAAACACACCTTTCAAAACTCTATAAAATTAATCGATATACATATAAGTTGATCCCATCACCCACATCTTTCGTCTCGTTTATTCTCAGGTATCGTATATACTTGTTTTCTCTTGTGCAAAGATTTTAAGCTCGTCAACGTACTATTAGTAAAACCACAAAATAAAAACTACCCTAGTTAACAATGTTCAAACATGTACAACCTTAAAATATCTGCAACATATTCTCTAATACACAGAAAATAAAAAATTCTGGGCATTTTTAATTCAAAAGATTCTCTAAAACTGTCTCCAGAATAAAAAGTAAGAGGGATGCTGTAAAATTTCAAAAATTTGGAGAACTCTTTAAAAATGATAACCATGAGATGGAAGTAAATTTTAGATTTTCACCAATAAGAAACACCAAAATTAAATGTTTTAATATATTATTAAATATATTAAATATTATAATAATATAATTAATGTTGTAATATACAAAACGAAAAAACTGTTGAAGTTGAATGTAATACTTTTTGAGATTTTAAATTTTGATTCTTTATTTTAAAGAAATTTTGAAAGATGCCTTTACAGAGGCCACATTGGAGAAGCTTTTAAGGATTTTCTTCGGCTACTATTAGGGTTTATAGACGTTTTGAAGTCGTTTCGGGTAATTTTGTGTATCTAAGCCAATTTATATGCACATTGACTAATCATTTGGAAGATCATGAAGCATGTGGAGTTATCACAGATAAATCTTTGTAGGCATAGCCTGAATTCAAACACAATGATGCCTCCATTCAAACACAATGAATATGAGATTTAACAAATTTACTGACAGATATAATTGAAAGTTCTAGAAATTTATGGATATTTAATTTTTGTTTCTTCTAATATTATGTAATATAAAATTCAAATATTAAATTATATTAAATTACCTTTTAATTGTTCCATCAAGAGGCAAACTTTAAATCGTTAAGAGGTAAATCTTGTTTGACAAAAAAAAAATATGTCTCTTAATGGTTCTAAAACCATCTGAATGATTTTGTATCATAGATCTCCCTTAACCATTAAGAGCCCTGATTTCATTGTACTCAATTACCAAACAATTATATTTTATTTTACACTATATCATGAGAGCCTATTAATCATTTTGACCACTTAATCATTTTGCACCAAACCATTTAGTAATTGCTAAACAACCCTTAGGTTAAAGACAACAAAAGAAAAGCGATCTTAAAAGAATAACTAATTCATATCTAAATACTAAAAGAATCAAAAGGTACGTTGTAAAATGAAAAGAGAAAAAAAAAATTATAAACTATTATATTTTGAGTGATTAATTTTTACGAGTGTTTGGTTTGTAGAATGTTTTTTGATGAAATTGAATCTATCAAAGAAACTTGAATTTGAAGGAATTGGAATAGAATGTTATCAGAGTAGACCATTTGTTTGGTTGACAATCATTGAAATGAAATTTATTAAAGAAGTTGGAATCTGTCTGTTCAATCTACATAATGTAGTTTTTTAATTAAAATAAAATATTAATAAATGACCAAAATACCCATTAATATCTAACCTGTTTACCTTTTTAAATGTGTAACCCCCATCCACTCTCAAAGTTTACATATAATCTACATTTTCTAAATTTAATAAGCCATGTAGGGGGTTAATCAGTTTAAAGTAAATAGATTATTCATTGCTAATATTTTTTTAAAATACATTATCTTAATAATTATATTATTATAATAAGAAAAAACGAATGTATAAAATTATATTAATTTTTTTTATTAAAGTAGATTATTATTTTCTGTAATTAACCCTTAATTTTTTTTTTATAAAGTCTTTAAATGTTTTATAATATACTAAAAAGGTATTCATGCAATGCAGCGAGATAAATCTCCATTTTAATGTTTAGTTTTTATTCTGTCTCCATCGATATAATACGATTTTATGTAATTTTGAAAAAACAATAATGGTTTTATTTTTGAATGAAATATAAATTTGAAGATAATATGAAAATTTGAAAATAAATAAATCAATATTAGTATCAAATTAATTATTTAATATCAATACTTATGAAATCGTCTACAAAGAAACATATTTATTAGAAATATGGACGTGTTATTCATGATGAATAAGACATCCATATTCATCGTGGATATATGATTCATAATGAATAACACTTCCATATTCATTATAAATGTGTTATTCATGGTGAATTTTCATTCTGAATAGGGACGTGTGACACACGATAAACGGTTCTTGGATTCCTAATCGATTTTAGATTCCTAACTGAACGATTTCTATACATTAAATATCATAACAATAAGTTTATAATCATTCAACTTCTAAAAACCATGATTAAATGCATAACCATAAATTAACATCGTATAAATCTTTTTAAATGGCAAAAAAGCACCACATATGACGATAAATAGTGAAATACTGGTTCATTAATAATGACGTAATTAAACCAGACATATAAGGTAATATTTTCGATCAATATTTAATACAATTCTAATCAAAGGTTTATAGATTTGAGTCTTTTCTCCTATAAATAGACGTGTAATAACACCACGCAATCCATCCAACAACTCATAAAACATACCAACATGACGAAGCCTTTAGTTTTCACCACATTTCTTGTATTTCTCATGATCACAGGTAATTTTCAACCTTATTTTTGCACTGTAATATTATTTTCCAGAAAGTCGACATATTTTCTTGATTTCAATTGAGATATTTATCACCAAGTTTACATAAAATCATTGATGTTGCTTTCTCTTATGCACAAATCAAATTAAAATGAAATGTACTTTATTTTTATTTTGAGTGACTTAGGGGCCGTTTACCAAACGATTACTCGGGTAAACGCTTATCAAGTCATATTATCTTATCGGATGAATATGGTAAGAACCAAGAATCTTATCTGGTAAGAGCGAGACAAGGACCAAGAGTCTTATCCGGTAAGTGAGGGCGACGACTCTTACCATGGTAAGCACTTAACGGATAAATTGTTGCATGCGATATCGTTTTGGTGGTCTAAAATCTTACCCGGTAAGTATATAATAGTGTTAAATTTTATTGGTAAGCATTTACCGTATATAATACGGTTTTATGTGGTTTAAAAAAAAACGATAATGCTTTTAAATATCATAAAATTTTGAAAAATATACATCGATATTAATATCAAATTGATTATTTAAAGTTCTTGTTTTTTCTGTATAATTTTCTTTAATTCAATTTTTTATTATAATTTAATTTAGATTTAGTAATAAAATAATTAATTTTTGGTTGATAATATAATTTTTTTATAAAAATAATAATTAAGTACTCTGTTATAACTCAATGATTATCTTACTTATATTTTAGATTTTTTACATTTAAAATAAGATGTTTATCATGTATTTGATTACGTTTATTTGCAATTAGTTACACGAATTCAAACATGAAACTTTAATAAGTTGAACTTATGTACAATTTACTTGTAATTTTGAATTTTAAGTGATATGCATCAATAAACAGTAGTTCATGCATAAAAAAATGCCTTTTAAGAGTTTTTTGTCAAATCCTTTATAATATAGTAAAAATATGCATTGGTCTAAATGTTTGAAATATCACCAAAGTATGCTAATTTTCCCTTAAAAAATCATACAAGAGCATCTCTAACAACTATGTAATTTTCTAAAATAGAATATCAAAAATCAAAATTTGTAAAAAGTACATCCAACTTCAATAGTTACTCTATTTTAACAATTCCAGCATTAATTATATCGTCAAAATATTTTATAAATTCATCTTCCCAATATATTTAAAAGAAACTTTATAAAAAATCATAACGTATTCAACATATTTAAAAGAAACACTTAAAATAATATCGCTCTCTCCTCAATATTAAGTTGTGAAATTTCTCCAAATCTGTAGATTTCTCCGTCATCTCTCTTCTTTTTCTATTTTAGCATACTTGTGGGAGTAAAAGAACTTCAAATCTCTACTTTAACATAGCTGTTGAAAATGCACTTGTTTATAGCTGATGAGAAACCGCATTGTGTATTTGCAGGTACAGAGTTGCTAATGGCAGAAAAACATTGTGAAGATTCTATTTATAAACCTTTTGGATGTGAATTATATGTTTGTAATCACTTATGCCAAAAGAAAC